CCAGGGCCTTATTCTGTGTAGTTGAAATCTGGAAGAAGGGGAAGGAAGAAAAGATCAAAGGCAAGCAATTTCCCTTTACTTCCCTAATAAGAAGGTGGAAGTTGAGCCTACCACTTCTGTTTATGTTCCATTGATGAGAACTGGATCACCTGTTTGCACTTAGCTAATAGGAAAGCTGAGAAATGTAATCTGACTACGGCTCTCATGTGTGCAGGAAGAAGGAGAATTTGGGGAATATAACAACCAGTCTACCATTTCTGGGGTCTGGTGTGGATCTGTCTATAAAAAAAAAAAAGCGCAGAAGTTGCTGCGAATTTCTCCTGAATAGAATTATTTTAAATTAAATATGTTTCCTTACTGTTTTATACTTACTGTACTTTGAAAATTACTTTTCAAAAGCTCTCAAAATAAAAAGGACATGTCTGCATCTAGAGGAAAGATTTAAAGTTCTGAGCACTAATGTAGCCTTTTCCACCCCTAAATTTCTCTTCAGGTATACACTCAATAACAGAAACCTTGGCCGGATTGTCACTATAGCAGAGCCATTCAACACCGAACTGCAACTGTGGCAGGTAGGAAGAGAAATTCCTCTATACTTGTCAAGGAAGGAACAGAATTAATTTTTTTTTTTCAAGTAGAAATGATATTTTCTCTATTCAGATCCTAGAAGACAAGGAAAAAGTAATGATTCTTATATATAATTCAATGTACATCTATTTTTTTTCTAAACTAAAAAAATTTCAAATAACCAAGAAATAAAGTTTAAAAGTTGAGAAAGGTGAGGCCTGGGGAGGCTTAGGCTCATGGTCCATGAGACCATACAGTTTAGTAAGCCATGAGCAGTTCATCTCTGCTTTCCAGATAAGTGTAATCCTGGGATAAGCTGGTCAAGATTTGATTCCTTTCAGAATTCAGAGTTTTGGAATTTCAAAACTAAGCCCAAGTCTTTCAGATTTTGGATACCTCGGTTCCTCTGGGGTGGAGGGGTGAGAGGGTGTTCATTAACGTTAGACAGAGACTGTATGAATTTTCAGTATCTGTTTAAGATATTGGAATGTTACATCCTTCTGTGAAACAAAATAATTCTTATTTTTGTAAATAGCAGATACTACTATGGTTAAGTTTGGGAGAGGGTTTTGGAGGGAAGAGGGAAAACAAACCAAATTTAACAGAGATTTTTTTGATGAGCCCTCAATGAGTGAACTGAAAGTATATAAAACAATCTACACTCTTGCAACAAAAAGCTATGCAAAGCCATCATTCCACAGTACAGATTTTCCAGGAAACACCTTGGGGGAACGTGCAGAAAACTGAGAAACCTACAGAAACAAAGAGAGCATGCCAGCCACCACTGTGCCGCTCTCCCCCAACACATCAGGGCCTCTTTTGCGGGACATGCTGCCAGGCGTCCAAAGCCAGGGGTCATGACTACTAAGCTGAGAGATGGGCTCAATCTGAATGATGCATCAGAAGATGTACCTTAATGTTGTTCAGTGATACTGAATTTACAGGGAAGAAGGAAACAAATCCAGAATGTAAATAAAATCCCTGAAGAATAATTGGACTTAAAATTACTTTCTTAATTATTGCATTCTCTTTTATAGATCAAGAGCTTTTTCGAAAGATATCCTGAAGCTGGAGCGGGACAAAAACCTAGGGAGCAAGTACTGGAAACAGTGGAAAACAATATCGAGTGGCTAAAACAAAACAGGGACACCATAAGAAACTGGTTTCTTGATTTGAATGGTTAATGTGTCCAAATATCATATTTTAATTTGGTGACTCTAATGTTTCTCCTGTTAAATATTTGGTGGCCTAATTTACAAGCACTATGGAAGGAGTTTTATATATAGATACTACTTTCACTAAGTACTGTGTTTATATGTCTTGCAAAGCTTTTAAATTGTTCCTTTTTGTTTATGAAGGAAGATACTAATAGAGTAGTTAATGTACTCAGGGATTTCTTCTAAGCATACTTCGTAGGAGATTCTTTACAAACTGAAGATAATTTAGTAGCCATTTTAAGGTCTTTAAATATCATTCTTTGTATCTTAAATCTGTGAAAATAGAACAATTTGGTCTTAGCTTTACGTTTTTAGTACCAAAGAAACACCACTTAATCTTCTCTCTTGAATGATTTTTAAAGTTTAAATACCAGTACTTGAGGGACCAATATTACCATCTTAATCTTTATTTTATTATTCAGAATTACACAGATCCAGCATCATTGTATTCACATTTGTTTTTACTCTTTTAAATCCTATCAAAGTAACCTGGGCTTAAATTTTACTCAAGAATTGCATGATTTAGCCAAAGAAATACCTGACTCTTACCTTTGGTCTTATAAAATCAACAAAAGAATTCTCCTCTCCTTTTTAAAATAAATCTGAATGGTTACCTTGAAAAAATACATTGTTTTCCAGTGTTCCTTTACTCTCGAATAATAATGACTGTGACTGTAGCATTCCCCAAATACTTTAGCAGTAGGCAATAAGATTCAAGAACCCAGTCTTTTTCATGCTTAGTTTTCTGTCATCTTGCTCCATTCCCTACAAAATTCCTTCAAATAAGCTATGAAATTAAGGGGAAGATAGTGCTTAAATCCTAAATGGATTTTAGAGGCAAAGGGCTAAATAATTGGAAACTTATTAGGAAAGAGAGAAGGGTGAAAAAAAAAAAAAGAGAGAAGGGTGATCATTCCCTAAAACTAAATGGAATTAGAATTTAGCTTTGATCTAACCTAGCAATCTTTAAGTGTGAAAATAAGGAAACCCATGGATGTTTCCAACATGACTCTGCATATATGAGGATATATCTTCTTAGATATAACTTTAATGTGAAAACCTTTATGTCCTAATCCATACAGAATCAGTTCCATTCACTTCAGTCACTCAGTCGTGTCCGACTCTTTGTGACCCCATGGACAGGAGCATGCCAGGCCTTCTTGTTCATCACCAATTCATACAGAATAGCACTAATCAAATTTATATTCATGATTTGACTAAAGATCAATTTTGTAGGAGCTGGTGGCAAGAACATGTTTAATATGGCACTTGATGCCTAGTAGATCCACAACACAAGTCCAGTAGACAGAAAAGATAGTAAATTACTATGTTCCAATCTGCTGTATCTAGAAAATCTAAATTTATTTGGAACCTTCAGAAGTATAATTTAAGATTGGTTTGATGATAATTGAAACACATGGAAACAATCAAAACCCTACCTTTTACTTTACATAAAAAATGTTCCCTAATCAAGGACTCTCAAACTTTGTAAATTTTCCTATTGCTGTGTCTTAATTTTTACTTCTCAATCCACATAGCTAAACTGTCAAAGTCAAATGTGGACTGGGGGGAGGAGGAAGGAGACAAAAAAAGAAGATATTTTCAGACTAAAACTTTTAAAATATTGTTTTAAATTACTTCAGAAGAAAAAAACATTAACAGTATAAATCATCAGAAAAAAAAAAAAAATCCCACTATCCTCATGGGGATTAACACCCTAACTTTATATTGACCATAATCAAAACCAGCACTTAAAGTCTATGTATTGTTTCAACTGGATAAATAAGGAAGTGGGATGTTTTATCCTTCTGCTTTATGCAATAAATTCTTAAAAGAAAAAAATTTGAAGGAGATGGTGCATGAAACAGATTCCCAACTTGCCTATAAGCACTAAACCTGAGAATGAATTGCTTAGTTCTCTTCACCCCATATGAAAAAGAACTGCACACTGTGTTTATAACTCCATTAGCCAATCAAGCCCTTCACAAACAGTATCTGGTTTTTAAAGGCTGATGACCAATAGATAGATCTATGCCAAGAAAAGTTTGCTACTGTGCTTTTTTGGTTGTGTCATGATTTTTACAGGGAAAAATTTTAGTATGTTGTATCCAAAATTAAACCACAATAAACCATCAACTTTAAAGAAATAACAGGAAGAAATGATCAGCAAAGTCATGTAGCAAGAAGCAGGGCCAGTAATAATTATTGCCTCCTTCTAGGCAGTTTATTCCCATATTGCAGATCACTGCTATGCACCCACACAAGTATAAACTAGGAGCTTATATAATAAACTATGAACATATAAGTGACAGGCAGGGAAGTTCTGGGGAGCAGAGATATACAGGTAGGTTGAAGGCAGTGGTACTCCTACAGTTTACCCTCCACATAGATAAAGTGTTATTCCAAAAATAGATAAATATAAGGTGGGAAGAGAAATCTAGAATGGTAATTCTCAAAGGGAGAATAAGCAGGGAACAGAAGAAGAGTAGAATAACCAATGAAACTTCCAAAACTGCTAAATAATACTAATAGTGACAGTAACAATAATAACAAATTCCTTTCTAATACCAAGCCCTATTCTAAACACAAGCACTCCACATACATCAATCTCTATATGTGAACTTTAGAAAAACCCATGAGATAGGTACTGTTAATATCCTCATTTTACAGATGGAGAAATAGAGAAGTCACACAACTTGCCCAAGGCCAAAAAGTTAGTGTATGGCATGAGCCAGGACTTGAACTTAGTTTATCACCAGAATCTATGTACTTAATCACATACTAAAGTAGAAACGAGTGTTTTAAAGTTAGTCACCTTAATTTGGTTTCAACTACTTGCCTTTAATCTCCCTATTGTTCAGTTTCCTCATATATAAAGTGAGGACAAAAATAATCACCACATCACTGGGTTGTTGTGAGGATTAAATGCAAAAACACGGGTAAAGGATGCATTGTATGGAAAATGATAATCACTCAATTAACATTAGATGCTATTATTGTTGCTATTGTGATATCTCCTAGTCTTCACTTAAGACACCAGTTTGGCAAATAAAATAAAGTTGGGTTCAGGAATAACAACCTAAGCAACTGAAGGCACGAAAGAAAGACAATGTGTCAAACTGTGTTATTGCTCAGTAGCAGTCACCGTCCATCCCTGAAGAGAATTCTACCATCTCACCCCACTGTGAGATAGTTCAGCACAGGCATGTGACTTACTTCGGCTGGTGAAATATTGGCAAGACTGATGTGTGTCAATCTCAGGCAGAAATGTCCAGAGTCAGCAATGGTTTGCCACATTCTCCATTTTCCTTCTGCCACTAGATCCAGCAATGTTCCAGATAGGGGCTGTTCTATTTGCCTGAATTTCAGGAGGAAAACAATAAAACCAAAAATCAGTTATTTGAAAAGAACAACAAAACTGACAAACCGTTAGCTAGTATGATCAAGAAAAAAGTGAGAAGACTTAAATTACTGAAATAAGGAAGGAAAGAGGAGGCATCACTATCAACTTTACAGAGATAAGGATTAAAGAGAACTCTATGCATAGCCATACACCAACAAATCAGATAACTTAGATTAAGTGAACAAATTCCTAGAAAAACACAAACTATCAAACTGACTCAAGGAGAAACAGACAATTTAAATAGACCTGTAACAACAGAGATTGATTTAGTAATTAAAAACAAAAACTTGCCACAAAGAAAAGCCCAGGACCAGATGGTTTACTTCATGAATTTTACCAAATATTTAAGGAAAAATTAGCACCAATCCCTCACAAATTTGCAAAAAATAGACAAGGAGGGAACACTTCTCAATTCTATGAGGTCATTAACACAATGATACCAAAACCAGGCAAAGACATCACAAGAAAAAAAAATCCCCCAAACTACAGATCAACATCCTTTTTTAATATATGCACAACGGCTCTCAACAAAATACTAACAAACCAAATCTAGCAACAAAGAAAAATGATTAAAGACCATGACCAAGTGCCAACTGGAATTTATCCAAGAATGTAAGATTGTTTTGACACACGAAAATCAATGTGATGTACTATATTGATGGAATAAGGACAAAAACCACATGATCATTCCCATGGTGCAGAAGAAACATTTGAAAAAATCCAGTACCCTTTCATGATAAGACATTCAACAAGCTAGGACTAGAAGGGAACTCCTTCAACCTGAAAAACAGCATCTATGAAACACCAGCAGCTAACATCACACATACAGCTGAAAAGACTGAATGCTTTGCCCTTAAGATCAGTAACAAGACAAGGATGTGCCTGCTTGCAACTTTGCTTAACACTGGAGTGGAACTCTTGCAAAGGAAATTAGGAAAGGATAGGAAATAAAAGACACCCAGAGCTTCCCTGGTGGCTCAGTGGTAAAGAATCCACCTGTCACTGCAGGATTCATGAATTCCATCCCTGATTCAGGAAGATCTCACATGCCATGGAGCAACTAAGCCAGAGGGCCACAGCTATTGAGCCTGTGCTCTAGAACTTGGGAGCTGCAACTACTGAAGCCGGTGAGCACCAGAGCCCATACTCCTCAACAGGAGAAGCCAGGCAATGAGAAGCCTGCTCACCATACCTGGAGAGTAGCCCCTGCTCGCTGCAACTAAAGAAAGTCCACACAGCAATGAAGATCCAGCATAGCCAAAAATAAATAAATTTTAAAAATTATTTTAAAAAAGATATCCAAATTAGAAAAAAGAAAATGATCTTTATTATCAAATGACATAATCTTGCACATAGAATATCCTAAAGAATACATGCACATACACACACACAGACGATTACTACTAAATGAATTCAGCAAAGTTGCAGGATACAAATTAATTGCATTTCAATACCCTAGCAATGAAAAATAAGAAAATAAAATTAGTTACATTCCAAGACCATCTAAAAGGATAACATACTAAGCAACAAATTTAACAAAAGAAGTCCAAGACTTGTAGACTTAAAACTAGGAAATATTGTTTAAAAAAAATAAAGATCTCAATACATGGAAGGACATCTCAGGTTCATAGATTGGAAGACATAATACTGTGAAAATAGCAATACTCCCCAATCTACAGATTCAACATAATCCCTAAAAAATGTCACCTTGCTTTTTTGCAGAAACTGAAAACCTGATCATAAAATTCATATTGAAATGAACACAGAATAAACAAAAGAATCTTCAAAGTAAGAACAGGTTGTGGAACTCACAATTCTCAAATTTAAAACTTACTACTCAACTACAATAATCAATAGAATATGATACTGCCATTAAGGAGAGACAGATAGGTCACTGTAAGAGAATTGAGAGGCCATAAATAAATACTTACATATATGGTCACTTGATTCTTTATAAGATAATAATAATGTAGAAAAAATCTTTTCAATAAATGGTGTTAGGATAACTGGATATCCACACGCAAATAAAATGAAGTTGGAAGGCTTTCTTACATCATACACAAAAATTAACTCAAAATACATCATAAACCTAAAAACTAAAACTACAAAAGAACAAAACAAAACAAAAAACATGCAAGTAAGTAAATCTTTGTGATCTTGGATGAGACAATGATTTCTTACTCATGATACCAAAAGCATAAACAACAAAATAAAACAATAGACAAATTAGTCTATATCAAAATCAAAAACTTTATTGCTGCAAATGGTACTATCAAGAGAGTTATAAGAAAATCCATAGTACCAAAGAAAGTATTTGTAAATCAAAAATCCTAATTAGGGACTGGTATGAAGAACAATACTGCATAAGAACCTGGAATGTTAGGTCCATGAATCACAGTAAATTAGCAAGCAGATGGCAAAAGTGAACATCAACATTTTAGGAATCAGTGAATTAAAATGGATGGGAATGGGAGAATTTAATTCAGATGACCATTACATCTACTACTGTGGGTGAGAATCACTTAGAAGAAATGGAGCAGCCCCCATAGTCAACAAAACAATCTGAAGCGCAGTACTTAGGTACAATCTCGCAAATGACAGAATGATCTCAGTTCATTCCCAAGTACTTAGGTACAATCTCGCAAATGACAGAATGATCTCAGTTCATTCCCAAGGGAAGTCATTCATCATCACAGTAATCTATGTCCCAACCACTAATGCCAAAGAAGCTGAACAGTTCTATGAAAATCTACAATACCTTCTAGAACTAACACCAAAAAAGATGTACTTTTCATCAAAGGGGTTTGGAATGCAAAAGTAGGAAGTCAAGAGATACCTGGGAATAAAAGGCAAGTTTGGCCTTGGAGTACAAAATGGAAAAGGGCAAAGGCTAATAAGTTTTGCCAAGAGAACATGCTGGTCATAGCAAACCCCCTCTTCCAACAACATAAGAGATGACTGTACACATGGACATCAGTTCAGTTCAGTTCAGTCACTCAGGCATGTCCAACTCTTTGTGACTCCATGAACCACAGCACGTCGGCCTCCCTGTCCATCACCAACACCAGGAGTTTACTCAAACTCATGTCCATTGAGTTGTCATACCATTCAACCATCTCATCCTCTGTCGTCCCCTTCTCCTCCTGCCTTCAATCTTTCCCAGCATCTGGGTCTTTTCAGGTGAGTCAGCTTTTCCCATCAGGTGGCCAAAGTACTGGAGTTTCAGCTTCAACATCAGTCCTTCCAATGAACACCCAGGACTGATCTCCTTTAGGATGGACTGGTTGGATCTCCTTGCAGTCCAAGGGACTCTCAAGAGTCTTCTCCA